CAAGATCCTAGGTTCCATCCCCAGCCCAGCAAAACAGACAAACCAATAAATAAAATAAATCTGACCTAGAGCCTGCTCAAAGGCACACACATTTAATCACAAAACTCAGGAGGCAGAGGCAGGTGGAGCTCTATGAGTTCAAGGCCAGCCTGGTCTACATATCAAGTCCCAGGGCAGTCAGGGCTACACAGTAAGACCCTGTCTCCAAAAAAGCAAAAACTAAAATAAAAATAAAAATTTGACTTAGAATTGGGCAAGGGATGAATAAGAAGGTAGAAATCTGCCATTTCCAGCACCTTCATCCAGCGCCTTGAAGAAATAACTCAGGATAGAGTTTTCTCTACCCTACTCTACTCAGAGTTTTCTCTACCCTACCCCCTCTCAGGTCTGGGCAGTCAGACTATGGTAGCTCTCAAGACCTCCAAGAGCTGACCTATGAGAATCTGGCAACCTGAACTCCCACAAAGCAACTCCAATGGACTCTCCTCCCAAGGCAAAGAGCACCTTATCACTCACAGAACCTGTCCCACCCCTCCACAGATGATGAGGGACAGATTAGCCTAGAACATTCCACCACCTGCCAGAGGCAGGAATCTCCCCCTGCCTGTCTTGCTTGGACTGTAGCTGAAGAAATCCCTTCACGTTGTCCAAGCGACCCAGGCCTGCTGCTCTCCACCCAGAGCTCTGCCCCACATCACCTCCTGTCAACTATTACCCAGGGCTCAATGCCAAGGTGGAGGGCAGCCAGGCTGGAGGGCAGCCAGGAAGAAACAACACTAGCCTCTCATCCTGGCCAGGGCAACTCACGAAGTCATCCTGGGGGCTCCAGGAGAAGGGGAAGGCACGGTTCTGGCCCAGGAGTCTGGCAGGAACCTGGCAGACACCACAAGATCTTTGCTAATGGGACACAAAGCAGAGTGCTGAGCCAAATAGTAGGTCCTCCTCAGGTTTCACTGAGTCAAAAGCCCCCTTAGGCAGAGAGCCCCACCCCAGTGGCCCACCCTATGTGTCATCAGCTCCTCCCCAGTGCCCTCTGCACTGCCCCGACCACTCAGCCGGATATGCAATCCCATCCCCCAGGAGGGTCACCCTAGCCTTAGCACAGCTCCCATTTCCTGCCCCTGGTGACTTCTCTGAAGTCTATTGTTCCCACTGAGCTTGGGTCAAAGGAAGCTAGGTCCCCACCCATGGGGGACTGCCTGCCCACCATAGCCAAGGAGCTGGTCTGCACCAGGGAGCCAGCCCATCCTCCTACCTTTCTGGAAGTCTGCCTGTATTCTGCCTGAGGATGGGCACAGATCTTGGCCTGAAGTTCTGGTGAGAATTTTTCCATAGGTTTTGTCCCCACCAGTTTAGGGCTCCAGGACCAGCTACACAGGTATGATTAGAATTTCCCCAATATACAGCCCCAAAGACAAAAAACAAGGGGAAAACTGCTTCAGAAGATCTAGGCAACATTGGGGTAGGCTACAGAAGTTGGAGAAGCCATGCTCCCTGCTTTGCCCTATCCACCACCTGGCCCCCTGAGCTGGTGACACCCCCGCCCTCTGGGTGTTGAAGAACAGCTGTTCAGCTCCGATTTCAGAGCTTTAAACAGAGCTGGAGCTGTTTTCCTCACTTCTGCCAGCAAAGGGTCAAGGGGGCGAAGGGAGAAGGCAAAGTAAAGCCATCCTCAAAAGCCCTGAATTTCCAACTATCGTTAGACTGGCCTCAATTACAATTTGGTCCAAAGCCCGGACCAATGTCCTCCACTTCCCCAGGGAAGGAGGAGGAGCCACAGGTTTGGCAATAGGTATTGCTCTCTGATAGTTACCAGCATAAGACTACAGAATGGAAGGAGGCTGTAACATTTGCATCCCAGGAGATGGAAAAGATAGAGATGCTGGGGGACGGGGATGTAGCTGAGTGGTAGAATAGTGTACTTAGCAAGCTTGAAAATTCTGGGTTCATCCCTAGCACCAAAAAGCAAAACAATAGATGATAGATGATAGGTGATGATAGATAGATGATAGATAGATAGATAGATAGATAGATAGATATAGATAGATAGAGACTATTCCTCCACTTAGCAGTAATACACAACCATGTGGAAGGAGATTATATCTGAAAGTTCTCCTGAAGTCTTTCCAGACTCCCATTCTCTGATTCAACTATAAGGTAGTTGGCTATATACTTTCTGTTGAGACACGGAAGGAAACACCTGCCTCCGACCATCTATCAAAATATCTGCACCACAAGATGGTAGACAACACCCAAGTCAGACTGTTGTCATCTCTATACCTGCTGGATAAAGGGGGCTGGGGAGCGGAGGCCCAGACATTGAGAGAGCAAAGCAGAACACAGAATTCAAAGAGCTTAGGTTCTAGGCTGAGCTCTGCCACACAGAGCTTATGCAATTCTAAGCACATTATAGTCCCATCTCTAGGGGTCTCAGTTTCCCCTTGAGGGGGACATTGATGGAGTCCCACAGTGCTCAAAGTTCACCCTAAGGGCAAGGCAAAAATGGAATGAAAATATGAGCGTCAGAGATTGTGTTATCTGGTGGAAAGGAACCTCTCTACCTGTAGCCACTCTGGTCTCCTAAGGATGCAGAGCATGGTGCAGGACCCACAGCAAATGCTCAATTCACGTTGGTGAAATAACATGATGAACAGGATGAGGTTTCTCAATGGGTATTTAGAAAATTGATAATTCAAAAATCACTTATCTCATGTACCCTAAGACCCTGGATTCAATACTCAGCAAGAATAGGGGGTTAGATGTTCCTTGCCAAAACAAGCTTAGGCAACACAGGGTCCAGTATCACTGGGGATATACTAGCAGGTGTTTTGTAAACATTGAGTTTTCAAAGCAAACTTTCTGCATAGGTATTAGTTACACCCCACCCCCCAATATTATTTATCAGAAAACTGAGTGAAAGGGCTTCAAAGGCAGTGGCGGATTTGCCTGACCCCAAAGCTATGCAATTTCTACCCCATCAGAGCTGCTTTTAGACTAGCCGCACACCTGGCCTGAGCCAAGTGGGAACAGGAAGTTATTTCCCAGCAGAATATCTCATCTATATTGGTGGGGTAGATGGAACAAGAAGAACAAGAGCCCCCACTCCTGATAATTCCCTGATCCATCTTTCTAGAAGCCCCAGCCATCATATCTGCATTGTGATAATGAAGAACTCTGATGCCAGGTCTGTCTGTGACAGCCCCCACCGCTCTCCTGCCAATCTCCTGGACTCCAGCTAAGAAGTCAGAGGCAGTCCTCACCTCCCAGACCAGACCAGCACAAATGCATCCATGCAGTAAGCTACTTAGACTTCTCCGCACAGAAGTGTTGAGTAATCTAGCAAGTTTTAAAGTATGAAGGAGTAATCCCAGATCTCTGGAAGCTGAGGCAGGAGGATCACCCAGTTGGAACCCAGCCAGGTTAGAGAGCAAGACTTTATTAAGGAATGAAAGGTTCCTTCATTGATTGTTCCAAGGAGAGTTGAACCACTCAGAGTAGTTCATACTGATAAACGCTGACACTTTTTTGACCTTGAGGCCATCTTACAAACACTACAGACATCTCAAGATCCAACATGGTCAGGTAAATCTGGTTGCTCAGGCCTGTAATCCCAGCACTTAGAAGGCTGAAGCAGGATTGCTGTAAGTTCAAGGTTAACCTGGGTACAGAGTGAGACCCTGTCTTAAAACAACAGCAACAGCCAGGCGTGTTGTCCCACGCCTTTAATCCCAGAGGCAGATGGATCTCTGTGAGTTCAAGGCCAGCCTGGTCCACATAGTGAGCTCCAGGACAGCTGGGGCTACAGGGAGACCCTGTCTCAAAAAGACCCCCCCAAAAAACCAACAGCAACAAACCAAAGAAGTTTGAGGCAGGAGGATCAGGAGTTCCAGGCCAGCCTCTGCTAGGGCAGTTCCAGGCCAGTGAGGGCTACAGGAGACTCTTGTCTCAAAACAAAACAATCTAACAAGGTCTCTTCCTTTTAGAGGGTGTACCCATTCCCAACAACCCACCCTATCCCCTAAAACCAAAATTCTCTCTCTCTCTCTCTCTCTCTCTCTCTCTCTCTCTCTCTCTCTCTCTCTCTGTCTCTCTCTCTGTCTCTCTCTCTGCCAGAACAGGATCCACTCTCCCTCAGAAAGACAGCTGCCTGGAAGAGGGGCAGGTGTAGGCAGCTTCCTGCCAGCTCTGCCCAGTCCAGGGGGATGGAGTTGGGGGGAGGGTGATATATATGCACTTCCAACCCCCACAGTCAGTCTCCCTGCACACAAAGAAATGGGAGACACTGTCTCCGCTCAGGTTCTACAGGAAGAAGTCAAAGCCAGAATCAACATCCTCAGTGGGAGACACAGATTTACAGAGGCGGCATCACACACCCACTCAAGACACTGGGGTTTTCAGACAGACAGCACCCTCCTCAAGTAGAAATGTACACACTGTCACGTTCAGCACAACAAATACACCTACTGGTGGCAACGTGAGTCACAGCGCACAGATAACTCCTTCAGGTACACCCAAAGTTAAGGATGCTGGCACAGTCAGGCCTCACTTGAACTCACAGAAAAGGAGTGTGGGTGTGCCAGGAGCCCCCTCACACCTGTGTGCACAGTTGGCTGCTAGGGAAACAGCGCCTTAGGGTTTGCGCGTTCTGCTACTGGTCCATCAGTCTTCACCCAGGAACACTCCAGCATCTCAATCCTTGGAGAACCTCTGCGAAAGGTGTCCCCCTCACTTTCACATTGCCTTAATGCTCAAAACGAGCAACACCTCCCTCCTGGGCTTTCTCCTCCTGGCCCGAAAGGTTCCAGTAGAAAAGAGCATGGGTACCGGAGCTATAAGGTCGCCTTTCCGACCCTTTCGGCCCCGCGACCCTGCTCCGCCCACCGCCACTCTCCGACCCTGCGGGCCACCTTGCCTCCACGTGCCCGGCTCTTCCCCCCCTAGTCCCGCCCCGGGACCAACCAAACGCCAAAGTCCCGAGAACTCGCGGCTCGCAGCCTTACCGGTCCCAGGGTGCGGGAGATGAGGTGGGTGCCCTCGGCCGGCTGCAGCAAGTCCGCCAACTGCTCGGCGGAGTCCCGGAAGCCCGGCGATCGCAGCGGGGACAGCAGGGGGTCAGCGGGCAGCGCCCGGGGCCAGGGAAGCGGCGGGCGGAGCGCAGCGCTGAACAGCGCGGAGGGAGGAGTTTTCCCAGCCCGGGACTGCCGGGAAGACCAGAGAGGCAGAAGCCGGTGGAGGGGCAAGTCCTACGGAAAGGAAGGGAGGGAACGGGCCGGGGCCGAACGCGGGCAGCCGGGGCCGAGGCGGGAAGATGCGCCCGGGACAGAGAGCGCGCACGTTGGGCGCCTCTCACCTGACCCGGACGGAGCGCGGTGCAGCGGCGGTCCCACCCCCAGGGCTGGAGTTTGCAAAGGAGCTCGGCTGGAATGCGCGGAATGAGCGCTGGTATGAGATGCGCGCGGCCTGGGGAGGGAGCGGGAGGGAGTGGTGGCGCTGCCACCCTCACCTCAGGGAGGAGACTGTGGCGGGCGAGGGGCCGAGCAGCGAGGGGGCGGGGCCTAGAGGCGAGGGGCGGGGCCTGGCGGCGCTCGAATGGAGCCTAGAGGTGGGACCTGGCGGCAAGGGGCGTGTGTGGGCGGGGCCCCTGTAAGGGGCGAGGTCGGAACAGGGCCGCTCCCCACCAGCCGGTTGCTGGCGGCTCCTAAGAGCTCACTCGCCTGGTCTTTGATCTCCGGATCTAGCGCTCTATTCCAGCTCTTCCTACACCCCAGTTCTAGCTTCTCCTGACTGTGTCACCCCTCCCCACCCCAAAACCGAAAACCTTCCTCTCGGCCAGGGTGCGGCGACCTCCCAGCCACTTTCGCTAGAAGGACCGGGACTGGCAGGAAGGGCTGCTCCCTTCCCCGAGGCTCCCACCGAAGGACGCCCGCCGGGGAGAACCAGGAAGCAGGAACTCCCGCTCAGCGCCCAGATCCGCCACCGTTTTTTCCTAGCTGGCCCTCCCAGTTGCTCTCTTGGTGTCCCTAGAGATCTGCAAAACTGTCACTCCAAAGAGTGGAAAGCATGGAAGGAAAGGAAGTCTGTAAAGTCCCTGCCACGAGGCCTGAGACGAGCTTGGTTGTCACTCAGTGAATATCCTGTTAGAGGGCGCACCGGATGCTGAGTAAATAAGGAAGGGTAGGGTCTCAGCAGCTGTGCTCAGATTGTAATTTAGTTGGGAACTCAGAGTGTAGAACAGCGTCGTCATGAAGTGGGAAGTCTAGGTTTTGAACAAGCCTGCCAAATCTGCTTAGAAAAAACACGTGGGCGTGGGCTCCTGTTTGGAAATCTGTAGAACAGTTTGGCTTAAAAGCAGTTATCGTTAGCACGCAGCTCTATTGCCCACCTTGTCGCTTTGGGAGAATTGAAACCAAAGAAAAGAACTTGACTTTTTCCAAAATTCAAACCCAATCTCTGGGGCACTATCCTTTAACTTTATTATCATGGGTGCTCCAATCTGATCTCCCTAGCCAAACAGAAAGAAACCTTGAAGGCAGTAAATGTCTATCTTATCTTTTACCCAACAGCAACAACATAAGATAATGTACATAATAAATGTTAAATAATGGACAAAATAGTAGCATGGAAGGTGTTGAAAAGAAAGTTTTAGTATGGCTAGGGTGTATTCAAGAGAAGAGTTCCAAACAGTCCCAGGAAATGACAGCATCACAGGACTAGGTATCCAATCTTACAAGGGAAGAGCTTGAAGGAAGCAGCCTTCATTTGGTTATATAAATTCGGGTGTGCTTGTTAAATAATGAGTCATCAAGGCTTGGTCACACCCCATACACATGAAAAGACCAACACAGACAGTATAGCTGCAAGCATGAAGTACAAACTATCAGTACTGCTTAAAGCAACCGTCTTTTTGTTGAGCATCTGTGTCTGACACCAAGCCAAGTGAGGAACAGGCCCCTACCTTAAGGAAGGTTACAGTCTAGGCAAAAAGACAATAATTACTCAAAATTCAACAGAATTCAAGAACAGGAACAATGAAGTCTAAGTTACAGGGGTGACGTGTGTGTGTGTGTGTGTGTGTTATCTTGGGAATAGAACACAGCGCTTCACACCTGCTAGGCAAGTGCTCTACCACTGTACTGTGGCCCCAGCCTTAATTTGCTTTTGTTTTTGAGACAGGTCTTAGACTGAGTTACTGAGGTTGGCCTTGAACTCAGAATGTAGCCCTGGCATGCCTTGAACAGGTCAATTCCTCCTGCCTCAGTCTCTGGAATGACTGGAATTCCAGACCTTTGCTACCAGACTGGCTACAGGACCACCAGGGGTGACACTGATCTAGCTCCTGAAGGACACATGTATTTGCCTAGTTGAGACCAGAAACCTCACCAAAGACAGGTGGAGTAGCGGCACCAAGGTATGATAGCTTGTGTGCACTGGTGTGTAGGAAAGGTTTGCTGTGCAGAACAAGAGTGAAAGAAGCAAGTGGGGAGACTGGGGGATTCCACTACAAGCCAAGGACACCTAGGGCTATTGGAAATCTGAACCACTGGAACTTGTGGTAATTTGCTGCTAGAGCCTCAGGAATACAGTATCAGAATATGACTTAAGAAATAAAAACAGAGGGGCTGGAGAGATGGCTCAGCAGTTAAGAACACTGACTGTTCTTGCAGATGACCCAGGTTTGAATCCCAGCACCCACATGGCAGCTAACAACTGTCTGTAACTCCAGTTCCAGGGGATCTGACAGCCTCTTCTGTCTTCCACAGGCATTGCATGACACAGGTACACTTACTTACATGCAGGCAATACATACATGCACATTAAAAAATAATAATAAATAACAGATTTTTTTTAAAAAAAGAAATAAAAACAGGGAGCTGGAGAGACAGCTCAGCAGTTAAAAGCACATGTTCCTCTTCCAGAGGACCCAAGTTCAAGTCCCAGCAACCACATCAAGCTACTTACAACTGCCTGTAACTCTAGCTACTGGCGGATCTGACTCCTCTGGCCTCCTTGGGAACTTGCACTCACATGCACAGGCACACACATAGACACATAATTAAAAATAAAAATAAAACTTAAAAAAATGGGCGGGGGGACTGGAGAAATGGGTCAGTGGTTAAAAGCACCGACTGCTCTTGCAGAGGACCCAGATCTGATTCCCAGCACTCATATGGTGGCTAACAACCGTCTGTAGCTCCAGTTCCAGGGGAATTTGATGCCTTCTTCTGACCTCCACGGGCACTACATGACATGAGTGCACTTGCATACATGCAGGCAATACACATAAAATAAAAACAATAAGCCGGGTGTGGTGGCGCACTCCTTTGATCCCAGCACTCAGGAGGCAGAGGCAGGCAGATCTCTGTGAGTTCAAGGCCACCCTGGTCTACATAGTGAGTTCCAGGACAGCTGGGGCTACAGAGAGACCCTGTCTCAAAAAGACCAAAAAAATAAAATCAATAAACAAAATATTAACATTTTAAAAAATGAATTAAAAAAAAGAAATAAAAACAAAACCAGGCATGGAGGCAGATGGAGATCAAGGCCAGCCTGGTCTACATAGCGAGTTTCAGGCCAGCTGGGGTAGCAGAGACCCTGTCTCAAAACAAACAAAACAAAACAAAGAAAGGAAGGGAGGCAGGAAGAGAGGGAAGGAGGGAAGGAGGGAGGGAGGGAGGGGAGGGGAGGGAAGGGAAGGAAGGAAGGAAGGAAGGAAGGAAGGAAAGAAAGAAAGAAAGAAAGAAAGAAAGAAAGAAAGAAAGAAAGAAAGAAAGAAAGAAAGAAAGAAAAAAACAAGAAGGTGTTAAGAACACATACTGCTCTTCTGGAGGACCCAAGTTTGGTTCCTAGCATCCACATCAGGCTGCTCAGGGCTGCCTGTAATTCCAGATCCAGAGGCATACAGAGCCTCTGACTTTCATAGGAACATACATAAACACAAAATATACATAATTAAAAATTAAAATTAAGTCAATTTTTAAAAAGAAAAAGAGGTCAGGGGGATGTGGTGGTATATACCTGCAATTCTGGCTCAAAGAGTGCTGGGGCAAGAATTTAAGGCCAGCATGGGCTGAGCATGAGAAGTGGGCACGTAAAGATCACATATGCTGTGCTGAAGATATGGCCACATGACAGCCATTTAGACCTGGGTGTGACCTTTTTAGTGTCACCATTAGAGTCCTGAATGTCATGTGGAGACTGTCCAACCAAAAGTGGTGGTCCTAAGACCGAGAAGAGGATTGGTGAATAGAGACTCAAGTTCTTTGGAAAAGCAGTTAGTAGTGCTCTTAACTACTGAGCCAACTCTACAGCCCCTATTTTTTTTAAGATTTATTTTTATTTATGTGTGTGTATGCCACACATGTTTGAGTGTTCATGGAATCCAGAAAAAGGTGTCAAGTCCTCTGAAACTGGAGTCTGGAACCAAACTCAGGTGCTCTGGAAAAGCAGCAAGCACTCTTAACCACAGAGCCATCTCTCCAGCCCCAAGTCAGGCTGGTGTAGAGTACAGGCAGACGAATAGCCCTTAGACACAGATTGCACAGAGGACTCTTGGAGAGCCCTCTGCTGGCTTTCTTCCCCTCAAAACCATCAAGGATCCAGGCTGAAGAGGTGTGTCTTCAGGATTTTGGCTTTCTGATTCATACCCTTACAAGCTTCTAGAGAGCTCTAGGTTTTTGGGAATTCCACTTCCTGAGCTGGGGAGGACCTTATGGGTAAAGCAAAGCTCATCGGATGCAACAATTCTTAGGGGCCTGTGATAGTTTGAATGAGACTGTCTCCCATAGGCTTCAAATATTTGGACACTTTGTTCCCAGTTGGTGGCACTATTATGGGAGGTCTTAGAAGGTATGGCCATGATGGAGGAAGCATGTCAATGGAGGCAGGCTTATAGAGTTCTTAAGCCTTGCCAGATCTTGAGTTTCTCTCTTGCTTCCTGTGCCTGTTTGAAGATGTGAGTGCTCTGCTTTCTGCTCCTGCTCCAGCCACCTGCCACCATGCCTCCCTGCCATGACAGACTGTAATTCCCCTGGAATCGTAAGTTCAAATAAACTCTTCCTTCTATAAGTTGCTTTGATCAGTGTTTCTATCACAGCAACAGAAAAGTAATACAAGGCCAATGACTGGCAGTGTTCACATTGCTTAAGAGACAGGAACCTCCATTCACTGACCCTCATGAATGAATCTCTTGGGGGAAATGTTTCACCTGTTTGCATCAAGCTAGAAGACATGGATGCTGTCAGATTACATCACACAGTCCTCCACTTGCCTCACTTCCTGGCAATCCAGACCACTCTAGCCTAGACCTACAAGTGGATGGAGGCCAAGGACAAGGATGTGGTCAGAGCCAGTTTTGATGTGGGGAGGGTATTTGTGTTGGTTAGGCCAAAGTCAAAGTTAAACATCATACTA